ATCCAGCTTGTGCTCTACTTAACCCACCCGGAGGGGGCACCTTCTACTTTTGCACAAACGTACCATTCAGAGGAGCTGAGGCCCTGAATGAAGGCCCTTTCCTGACATCCTGGCTTGTGTGAAAAATTCAAACTCAGACATGTGGTTCCTCGAGAAAAAGAGTGATCCGTGCTGCTTCATGTTCTCTAGATGGGCCCTGATGCTTTGAGGTCTGAGGCCGAGGTGCCTTATCACCGACTCTCAGGCCGTCCCTTGGCATCTTCATTCCCAGCCTGCGGTGGCAGGCCAGTGCAGTGGTAGTTTGAGAGCCTGGCCCCAGTAGAATGAACTCAAAATGGCATATGGAAATGACAAACATTTGGCCCATGGCTTTGGGGGTCGGGGTTTTAGCAGGCTTAGCAGTAGATCTGATCCCCCAAAGAGGGGACACAAGTTCACCTGAGAAAGAGCTCGGTTATTTATTGCCGGCCTGGCTGTTTATGTTTCTCAGTGCCTAGATGCCAGCATGGAGGAACGAGCCCACCTTGGGGGAGCCCAACTTACTTAGGATCTTTGGCCACATTGGGATATGGTTACACCATATGTGGTTACCAACTGGCACTCAATTTTTCCAGAGAGGGTCCTCCCCCAGGAATCGAGTCATCTCAGGGGCTGGTCTTTATCAGCCTAAGACCTGGAGCAGCCACCTGAGCCTCTGTCCCAAGCATGAAGGCAGAGGCAAAGGAAACCTTTCAAAGGATCACAGATAGAGGCATGATGTGCTGGTGGGCACTTGTCTCCAGCAAACCACCAGCCCCAGGGTTCTTCCATTTCCCACCACCCACAGGTCATGACAGGCCCAAGGATGGGGCAAGTCCAAAGCCAGCTGTGACGCCAGCTGCTCCACATTCAGCCGCTGGGAGGCCAGTGTGCTCGAAGTAAATGTAGACAAAAGGGCCAGACACTCATAAAATAACTTCTCCCTCAGTCTCACCAACAATGAGACTGTCAGTTCCCAGATATGTGAGCAGCACAGTAAACCTTGCTTGGCTCTGTCCGCAGCCTGATTTCCCTAACATATAAAGCGGGCTTTTTCTACTGTTACACCCTCCTTCCTTCTCTGCCTCCCAGGGCTATGGTAAGGACCAAAGGAAATGCTATAAATGAAAATGCTTTGTAAAGGGCTTTGCAAATTACAGTGTGCTGTTCAGACACTGGTTATGATGATGACGATGATGATTCAATCAGAGTTCCCCATCCCCTGGGTGGCAGTGATTGGTAGGACACACATAAACCCAGCCAGCTAATCAGTCCTTCCCAGGACTTCTCTGCCACAGCCATGGAAGGGAACTGCTTTCTGCTGAGTCTAATGAGTACTCAGTCTGGGGCTGCTGAAGCCACCCTGCCTGCCCCATGAGGAGAAGAGAGTTAGAGGCAGAAAGAGGCTCAGAGCCCTCACTATGATGTTTGAGCCCCTGGATGCAGCTATGCCTGAAACCAGGCCAACTTTGAGATTTACCATTACATGAACCAACTTCCCTTTGGTTTTTCCCTAGGTTAGTTTGATTAGATGTCTGACATTTATAACTAAAGGAATTCCAACTATCTCCTGGGTACATTTTAATCATTTTCATATTAGTTTTATAATCATAAAATAAAGTTTTTAAAGGAAAAGTTTTGCTAAAGTTTTTCTAAGTTAGTGTACCTATGGGCAGCATAAAGAAGCAAAAAAAGCAATGAACAGCGAAAGCAAACAAGTGGATTCTCCACTTGTTTCCACAGGAATTGCTGTGTGATTTTGAGTAAGTCTCCCAACCTGCCTGGACCTCATAAAATAAGGAGTTGGAGTTAATAGTATCTGAGGTATTTTACAGCACAAAATATCTTCAACTCCATAAAAGACAATCCAATAGTCTAATACAAAGTATTCTTAAGAAAGCTTTCTAGGGGCACCTGGGTGGCACATTCAGTTAAGCATCTGACTCTTGGTTTTTGCTCAGGCCATGATCTCAGGGTCGTGGAATTATGGGAGCAAGCCCCGAGTCAGGCTCTGAGCCCAGGATGGGGACTGCTTGAGATTTTCTCTCCCTCTCTCTCTGCCCCTCCTGCTCATGCTTGCACTCTCTAAAATAAATAAATCTTTTAAAAAGAAGACTTTCTACATAAATATTAAGAATAAAGACTAACAATTTAAAATTGCTGTCAAGTATTTATTTTAAAAACTTTTAAACTGACAAGTTATGTATGAGATGTCCTCACATATGAAATTTAATAGAAATTCATATATGAATATGAAAATATTCACTACATCTCTAGTTAAATTGGAAGGATTGGAGACAAAACTTGGGAACAGCCTGGTTAAAATAGCTGCGGTACATTCATACAATAGAATATTGTGCAACTGTAAAAAAGGAATGGGGAAATTCTTTATGTATTGATATGGCCGATGCCCGAGGCACATTTTTAAATGGAATGGGCAAAACACAAGGTGGCTGTGCTATGTCAAAAGACGAGGAAAGGTCATATGGATGTAACTCTTGGTGTGTACATAGAAAATCTGAAGAATCTCAAAAAACTGGTGCCACTGATTACCTAATTACCTCTTTGGAGACCAGGTCTTATTTTTCACTATACAATATATCCTTCAAATGTCAAAACACATGACTGTGTTGCTTACTCAAATTTTTTAAATTTTTTATTAAAGGAGTAAGGAAGGGGGTATAAGAAAGGGCAAAGACATATGACTTAGGTGATCCTCATGGTTAATCTGAAGCCCAACTAGGAATCCCAAGTACCACTGTGCATATGTACAAATGGGGAAATATACCCAGAGGAGTATATACTCCAACATGGAGACATATCCGGCTAATGGATATATCTCAATAATATGCTCCCTTCAAAATCCACACAGCCAATCTGGCATGTAGTCAACCTCTTGCTATTGTAAAGCTCTGGATGGGGTTGAATTAAACTGATCCAGGGAAGGATCAAGCCAGGGATTACCTCCTCACTCATCCATGGAACTTCTAAAAGAACAGGATCAATGATTCTGGAACAAAGAAGGAGGAAGTCCCACCTCCAAAATAAATTGTTCATACCAATAATCATTCATGTTTAATAAAGAAACACAGGTGATGGGGAGTCATGCCATGCAGACTTCTGATCTGGCCACCTGTAAGTCTTTAAAACCAGTGTTTCCCAAACTTCAGTGTGCATCATGGGAAATGGGTCCTGGGGACCGATCCTGGGGATATGGTAAAATGCAGACTCTGACTTAGCAGGTCTGGGCTGAGGCCCAAGATTCTGCAGCTCTACCAAGCTCCCTGAGGATGCCTGTGCTGCCAGTCAAGACCACACTTTGAGTGTAGTTCTAGAACCACCCCAACCAATATGGGCACCACTAGCCATGTGTGGCAAATGAGCACCTGAAATGTGGCCAGTCTGCAATGAGATGTGCTAGAAGTGTAGAGTACACACTGGAATTAAAAAACAATACAAAAAAAAGAATGTACAATAGCTCACTCATAATTTCCATATTGACTACATGCTAAGATGATAATATTATTGCTATGTTAGGTTAAATAGAATCTATAATTAAAACTAATTTCACCTGTTTCTTTTTCCCTTGTTTAATGTGGCTACTAGAAATATAAAATGACACATGTGGCTTACATTATACTCCTGTGAGATTATACTGCTCAGAGAGACGTGACTCTCTGACAGCCTGAGTCTCGGGAAGTTTGGAACAACCTCAGTCACCATCCTGAAGGGTTTGCAAGGGTCTGTAAATTCTGTAGGGCCATTGAGAACCTAGATGGAGCTCATTGAAAAATCTAGCCTCCACCCATCTCTAACAAATAAAACTTCTACGATGAGTGAAATCTGGGTTAAAGTAACAATCAAAACAGGCTTAACCATAGAACCATGAGTAAGAGCATCCCAAACAACTGTAAATAGCGATTTTGCAGAGAAAATGCTGCGTGGGAAGGCAGGCGTGAGGTAACCTTGCCAAGAAGCCAGACTTAGCCAGGTCTGCGTTGTCTGGTGACAGTGGGAGGGGACACATCAGCTCTGCCTTTGTTCTACTTAACAGCACTGTTCCCACCACACTGAGTCACCTCCCAGCCCTAGAACCCCCAAAACCAGGGGCTCCCTTAAAACTAAAGACCCAGGGTGAGGCACGCCTGGGTGGCTCAGTGGTTGAGTGTCTGCCTTCATTCAGCTCAGGGCATGATCCCAGGTCTGGGGATCGAGTCCCATATTGGGCTCCTCACAGGGAGCCTGCTTCTCCCTCTGCCTGTGTCTCTGCCTCTCTCTCTGTGTCTCTCTTGAATAAATAAATAAAATCTTTTTTAAAAAAAGAAAAAAAACCCAGGGCAATCACTTGGCCTTGGTCTGAAGGTAGCCAACTAGTCAGAAGTGTTCTAATGGGTCAGTAGCCTAGAAAACTAACCAGTTCCTTCTGCATGGCCATAAAGCAGTTAGCATCCCCTAGAGGCAAATTTTGAACTCAGACTCTTCCATCTCTGTGCCCAAGATGGTTCTATTTTTAGCAACCGGTCCTTTTCATATAAGATGCTCCTAAAGCTCTTTCACAATAAGGGGCTGGGGGTCCACTCTCCTCAGAAACACAGAAGCTGGGACAAGGTTTCTATACTTGAAACCACAGGAAGGTATCACACCACCCAAAAGAGCTACAGCCCCTTGGGCCCTGTTGGGAAAAGCATTCCTCCTGGGCCTGTTCCCACCCCTGCCTGCTTGCTTTACCACACGGGGTAGTGAGAGAGATGAGAGAAAAGGGAAGACACAAGACACCAGAGGGAAGAGATGCTCAGGTGGATACATGGACACATTTACACATGAGAATAGGCACAGAGGCACACCTTTGGGTACCATGGGCCAGGTTCACTCTCCCACAAAAGCTCTATAGACAAAGGAGCAAAGCAACCTTCTCCTGGGCCAGCCCAGCCCTCCCCACGTCTCCCACCACTGGGCCCAGCCAAGCTCCAGAGGGCACTGACCAGGTTTTATTTCCAGCAGCCGAAGCTTTGGATCCTCAGGCGGGTGCAATCTTCTCTTCTTACGCCAGCAGCGGGCAGGGTATGTGTAGAGCTGACCCGGGGCGAGGCCTATGGACAGAGACAGCAGAAAAGGTTAAAGGCTCCAGGCTAGAAGGAGCCTTGGAAACCTCCCTGTCCAGCCTTCTCACTCATAGTGAAAGGAAACTGAAGTCCAGAAAGGTAAAATGACTTGTCAAGGTCACACAGCTGGTTGATGGAAAAGCAAGAGCAGTATCTAGGTCATCTGACCCCAGGACCCTTGCTCTCTCTGCTCCACCGTGCTGCCTCCGTAAGCCCCTGACCATCATGGGTGACTCCATCACCACGACCAAGACAGTTCTGCTTCCTGGTCTGGGGAGATCAGAGGGACCTTTCCAGATTCAACCTCACTACAGTGTTTCCAAGGCAGTGGACCTCCAGCTACCACCCATCAATTGCCCCCCTACACAGGTCCATGTTTGCAGGTTTTCTGCAAAGCAAAGCAACAGAAATCAGTCTGCCTACCTATAGATGGCCTGAATCGAGAAACATTTCAAGGAAACAGAATCAAGGAGCCAGATCTCCTACCTACTAACTTTCTCCATCCACTACAAGCCTACTCTAGTGACCAGGCTTCTTGGCCTACAGAGCCAGCTTACTTCTATACCCCTGCCCATTTGCCTGGGACTTACAGAAAGAAATAGGCAAGAGTCCAGTGGCTGGGTTTGTATACCAACCACACTGTCTCTCTAGTGTCTCCATTTAGATTTGGCCTTTGGCTCCAAAGTTCCCCACCAGCATCATCTGTCATAACAACCACCCCGTGAAGAGACTTCTTACTTATTAGGCAACACGCTTATGGGGCCTCTGTGGCACATGGCATGGCAGCCAGAGGCCTTGGAGGAATGTGGACTTTCCACACTAGACTATGGTCCATTCCGAGAAAAAAGAGCAGGGGGTGGAGGCTAAGGGGAGAGGGAGAGGGGCTTAAAAGGGATCAGGTGATGTGCAAATTAAAAAGACTGCCTGTTGCACCCCAAAAGAAACCAGTGGAAGACAAGCAATTCACTCTTGCCTGGAGTCAAAAGCCTGGTTCATCCAGACAGGAACTTTGTCTTATACTCATCAGAATCCCCAGAACGAGAACTGTGTCTGACACATAGAAGAATCAAACTAAACATTTGCTTAATAAATGAGTAAACAAATACGTTCCAGTTTCACAGTAATCAGTCACAACTCAGTCTTCCGTAGGCAAATGGAGCATATGACAACTGTTAGACCCATGTGGGAAGGTCACATCCTAGGCCTGGGGCCATAGGGATATTAAATATCAGGACCCCATTTCCATCTGCTGTCTGCCATTTGGGGATCTTTTGCAGAGGTAATCTATAAGAGTTTCATTGCTATATATCCATTTATTCATTTTTCATTTTTACTAGTCATCTCTACCCATTTATTGTTTTGAGTCCAAAGCAGAGGCTTTACTTCCAGTACTAAAGGAAGTAAAATTTTCTAATTCTCTTTGTGTGCTAAGTTTCATTTCTAATCACATAGCTGCACTCACAGGTTGCAAGGCTATGAAGAAGTTGGAGGTCCCTACCCCTCCCCATTTGGGTTCTCAGAAACCATTAAGGGCCATGGAGCCTCAAGTTTCCAGAAAATCTCTGATGTCCTAAGTTAAGGGATTTTCATGCCCAAGAGTCATCCTAATACTCAATTTTGTTGATAGCTTCATAGCTTCTGCATAGTAAGAGGATCCCAAAGCTCTGAGCCTCCTGTGCTCTCTGAGGACCAGACTTGTGTTGATTTGGAGAAGACCAAATGAATCAAGCAAGACTGTTCTCCTTCTCATGAAAGGTCCAGTTTTGACCTGTCTTTGAGGGAAGGCATCACTGGGAATAGTTCAATCTTTCTGATGTGATTCACTCCAGCACCATGTCATCTCTGACCCTAGAAATCCTGAATGGCTGCATTGATTCTGGTCCCTTGAGCTACCCCTGAGGATAGTATGCCCCAGGACCCCAACAAAGGCCAAGTATAAGGGCTGACCCAGTACTCTACAATCCAGAACTGGTCCCACTCATCTTGGGTTAGTGATTCTTAATCCAGGCTGAACTCAAAAATCCAGACAGAACCTGGAGAACTTCTTAACATCAAGGCCAAAAATTCATGCCAGAACTACCTAATCTGAATGTAAGCAAGTGGAGGAATTGGGCCAACTATTTTTTTAAAAAACATATTATAGATTTTTCCAATGTCTGGCCAAGAACCTCTGGATGTCTAAGCATCATGTAGTTACTGCCTGGATATTCTCTCTGATGTACCAAGACTGGCTTCATGGCCTTCCTGAAAGCATCTCAAGGTTCCAGTGCTTCTCCCAAGGTGTTGTCATTAATTGCCTGCTTTCTGGACTGTCCCCCCTACTGGTTTTATAAGACCCAGGATGACAGGAACTGTGTCCATCTCTAGTATCCCCAATACTTAGCACAATGCCTGGTAGACATATCAAGAAGTACTTATCAAATAAATTCAACCAGAAATGCCTGGGTAGCTCAGTAGTTGAGTATCTGCCTTTGGCTCAGGGCCTGATCCCAGGTCCAGGGATCAAGTCCCACATCAGGATCTATGAGGCACCTGCCTCTCCTTTCATCTCTCTCTCTCTCTCTCTCTCTCTCTCTCTCTCTCTCTCTCTCTTTCTCTCTCTCTCTGTTTCTCATGGATAAATAAATAAAATCTTTTAAAAAATAGGAATAAATTCGACCAGAACTCAATCAAATTAAGAAATGCAGGAAGTGAATGACTTGCTATTCCTGGTTCCAGGAGACTCATCCACCCACATCCAAACCATCCCAGAGGGACCCCAGAGCTGGGCCCAGAAGTGTGTACAGAACCCACCCAAGATAGCAGTTTCTGTGCCTTAGGCTCCTTCTTGCCCCACAGACTGCTTCATAGTGTTCCAAACTGACCAAGAGCAGGTGAGTAAGAAGGGACTGGTCCAGACAGCACTCTCAAAAGACCTAGAAGACAAGAGGTCAAAATTGCCAACACTTGCCCAAGGGCCTATGCCCTCCCTGAGACTGCGGCCATGGCACTTGGTCAGCAGCATCAAGGAAGCCTAGGGTCGCTCAGTTTATAGCTTTAGACCCACTGACTCTCTTGGTAGTAGGTAGTTTGGCCAGAAGAGGGGATTGTTTTTATATCATTCTTTAACTTTCTCTGATGGATTACAGAAGGCCTGTGGTGTAGAGGAAGAGTACATGAGTCCTCATACCACCACTCCTGTAACCTTAGAAATATCACCACACATTTATGAGCCTGTCTCCTTATTCATAAGAACATTAATAATACTTACCTTACAGGGGCTGTTGTGGGGATTAGCTTATATTCAAGCCGAAGCTCTTTATAACTGAAGTCTTGTGCAAATGTCAGTTATTCATTATCATGAGTTAACTGGCTTAGATGAGTCTGGACTCTATGGCCATGTGGTAGGACAAGGCCCCCCACCCCTGCATGCCCATGCTGCTCTTTGCTCCTTTAGCCAAGAGGGTAGAAACAGGCCTCTCTTTGATGTCTGCCTTGACTCCACCTCATCTCAACAAGCAAATGGCCCCAGGAACTCTCTCAGGGCTCCAGCCCCCCTCCCTCACCCTCCTCCCTAGGCTGACAAGCACCAGGGTGCCTTTATAGGGCCAACGCATTCAGCCCTGGAGTTCCACTTATAGAGGGACGAGCAGAGCCCCGTGAGAGTTATGTTGTTTATCTCATTAGAACAGGAGGCACATAACTCAAAGCCTGTGTGTGTGGTAGATGGAGGAGGGAGGGAAGAGGGAGGAGGAGGGAGTCACAGCTGCAGCCAGGGAAATTAACCTGAAGGAGTGAGCCTGGGGCTAGGGGGAATAGGAGAGGGTGGGGGGAAAGAGGCAGGACACAAGAGCAGGGACTAGTCTTCGCTGGTAACCAAGGCCACAGCTACCCCTCCATTCACATACATCGCTAAGCAAACTGCTACTCTGTCACTTTGAGCTCCAGTTACACCACTCATACTCATGTGCAAGCATCTCTCTCTCTCTCTCTCTCTCTCTCTCTCACACACACACACACACACACACACACACACACACACACATGAACTCACACGCTTGTTGGAGGGAGAACTGTCTCCATAGAAAAAAATCAGCAGGATGGGTTTTGATGCCTGTATGGTCAGCAGACTCCAAACAAGTCGCTTATTACCAGCACTGACCAAATCACCAGGTAGATCCTAAGTGGCATTTTTATCTCTGACAGACACAGCATAAGCTTTAAGAATTCAATAGAAGTGGGATAGAAAAGAGAAGAAAGGATGATAGAGGGTAGGAACAGGGTTTGAAAAAGAAGGAAAGAACTGGGATGACTTCCTCTTCCCCCAACCAGAGTTCAGCAGTGGCAGTTCAAGACCACCCTGTTGCATCTCAGAGAGATGGACCAACAGCCACCACTGAAGACTCCCTGCAATGGAACACTCACTACTGCACAAGACAGACTTCCTGTGGTTGGTCAACTCTCATTGTGAGAAACAGTTTCACTTCACCCTCATTTTGAATCAAAATCTCCCTTCCTGTAACTTATGCCAATTTGTCCCCTCTATACCCAGGGTGGACAAGTGTCACCTATCTTCCAACCATCCATCCCATCTACCCACTTGGGTTTGAAGGACAGCAAACTGAGAAGCTAAGGAATGAGAGGGAATGGGAGTTACAGGAAAGAGGCAGTGACTATACCTACTCAGAACTGGGGGTAACACAATTCAAGGTTCCAAATTAAGAATCCAAATACTGCTTCCCTTTCATCATCTCCCCCTTGCCTACCCCCTATTAGATAGGAAAGGGATGGAACAGCTCTTTAGACTACTCTTTAGACCATCACTGCCATTAAAGAGTTCCTCTGCATATTGCTCCTACCACATACCTCCACAATGGGTCACCAACAGCCTCCATATTTATAAACAGATAATGACACAAGCCAGGGGTTCTTCACCAAGGCTGGGCATCAAAACTGCATACGTGCTTATTGAAAAAGGCAGATGCCTGGACTCCAGCCCAATCCTACTA